GGTTGCAAAGGGTTGCATGATAGCGCATAGAGGTGGCGACTCGAGATGATTAACAGTAGGGCCAAAAGAAAAACGTTTTAACTGGTTTTAATACCAGTTACAATTGCCCTACTCAAACGACACAATCAGGTTAGAATGGAAACCACTTTGCTCAGAACTCTTGGGGAAATGCAACTTGCGACAAAGGTTTGCAAGTAGATACTTCTTTGTTTTAAGGGGTCACGAGCCTGACATGTTGGAAACTGCTGCTCTACACTCAACTGTTACCACCCACCCTTCAAACCTGCCACTGTACAGCCTGTTCAAGACTCATCTGACAGGCACATCATAGAGAAACACAGCAATTCAGCAATTACCACGACGGTACCTCTGCACCCTCGCTAATTAGGCTTTCATATCAGAGCGGCTCCCTGTAATTATGGCAGAAACTGGTTGCACTGCTCCTGTGCTCACTGCAAACACTCATTAATCGCCAGCAATGCTCTCTAAACACCGTTCCAGATATTCACTCACAGTTCAGTGGCATGGCAGAGAGGAAAAGAAGAGACAGGAAATTCACATGTTTGCATTTACACATACTGAGCATTTAAAATACACCGTACTGCATTATTTAGCACAGAGAGAGAAATATTACATTTATTAAACAAGCCTCCCACTGTTTATTTTATCAAGAAAATTCTTGTCGACCTTTCAGTACTACAGTCTGTAGTACTGGCAACAGGAAGCAGAAAATGGAAGTGTTTTAAAGGCAATGAATGTATTGAGTAAAGGGTGGCAAGGTTACATACTTCAACAGACAAGCAGGCAGAAATTGCAGGAAGACAATAGCTACATAGCAGAATTAATGATTTGGCAAACGAAAGGCCAAACAGCTTTCTATTTATAGTAGGGAGCTAATGACTGAACCGAGAACAGCTGTGGAGGAAGGTGGCTAGTCATCAGATGACTGGCAGTGGTGAGAAAACTTCACGGGGTGACTTGTGGACAGAGTGGCACGACTGGCAGTCCACATACCACAGCTCGCAAACGCTTTTTGTGGCTATCTACGAGTCTTTCTACTCTTGACTTAAGAATTTTTAGCCACTCTTCCTTCAGATCACTTCAGGTTCTTTCAGGCTGTCTTGTATCCAGAATTTGCCCCTCCAAACACACCTTTGATGATTGTTGCCCAAAGAGCTTGATTCATCCACCCACAGCACTTATTCCCAAAATGACTGGTTTATCCAGGTGTTGCTTTGCAGACTTCAGACTTTTGTGGTGAGGTTGCAGGTAAGGTTTCCCTCTGATGACTCCTCCATGTAGACCCTGTTTGTGCATCAGCACTGCACAGTGGAACAGTGCACCACCACTCCTGGGTCAGCTAAACCTTCCTGCAGCTCCTTTGCAATCATCTATGAAATCTGCTGAAGACCATGTGATCTGACCAAGAGCTCCAGAACCGCGACTACATTGATCTTGTGGTGAGGTTGTTTTCTCAACTGCTGTTTCTAAGGTCAAGAATGAACTTTATAATTATGAGCAATAAAACTTTTTTTTGGTTTGTTGGTAACATAAGCTTGTCATGGTAACCTTACTGTGTAGCTGTGATCACTCACAAACACATACTTAAACACAGTGCCAAGAGGATATGTTAATACCCTTCATGAGATATTAATGAAAGCTCAAATAAACATTTACAGTACAGGTCATTACACAACACATAGTTCTCTGTCTCTTATACAGTAATTCTCCAGCTTACAGCTAAAATAAGACAACTGAGGACAAAGTGCGGGTATTATACGCACAATTCAGAATAAAATAAAGGATGTGTAATAAAACAGCAACATAAATGATACTGCACTTACTGCACATGGGATAAGTTAAAAACTTAAATCTGTTGCATCTAAATTTTGGAAACCTGCATCTCTGTATCCTGAGCTTTCTGCACGATAGAGGAAGCTGATGCGGCTCACCAATGATTTTCGCTGCCTTGACAATGTTTCCAAGGTGACTGCTGTTCCATACGTTTAAATTCCCACACCAGCAAATCAGCGAGAAGGTAAGGACTGATCGGTAAAATAAGATAGCCAGGTGTCTTAAAAACATCTAACCTCCATAAAAATGTACATTGTACGTTGCCTCAGTGTTCACATCAAATCTGAATTATGGAGCATGTGGCAAAGTGAAAAAAGAGTGAAAACACTGTGAACAGAGCGATGGTGATGATGATGATGATGATGATGATGGTGATGATGATCATGGTATTCCTGATGAGGCGGGTAGAGGTGGTGTTACAAGATACCCGTGAAGGCATGTGCATTTAGCTGTGAAGGTGATAGCCTATATGCAAATGCACTGTCACAGTCAAACAGCTTTAAGAGTGACGCTAACACAGTGTGATGTCACAGTGACTGGATATTATAGGTGAGTCGTAAAGAAAAGAAAGCGTGTGCAAGGTCTTTAATGTGTATTTAAACATAGGTCAATCTCTGAAGGACAAATGTTAAATCCTGTCCCTTCAAGTCTTAAAATAGCCTCCGACAAATGTCACATTTCATGAATAAATCTGCTGTCTCTCTGCTTCAAGACAAAATGTCATCACCAGCGACAAGTTCAGAAACACAAAGTTAATGCCAACCACCGGAGAGGCTTCTGTGCGAAGAACTGCTGCAGCAATTATTTTTATCATCAATTGTAATCTCCTGATTATTTTTTTCAATTAATGATTTTATCAGCAAATGACAGCAAAGATATTCAGTTCACAATCATGAGTGACAAAGAAAAAGCTTCAAATCCTCAGATGTGAGAAGTTAGAAACAGCAAATATTTGACATTTTTGCTTAATGACTAAAATTGTTATTCAATCATCAAAATAGTAGATGATTATCTTTTTGTTGACTAATCCATGAATGGTCAAACTGTTGCAGCTCTAAAAAAAACTGCAAGACTAAAGAAAAGTTCAGACGAAATGTACAGAATTATTTTGATAGGATGAGTTTTTTATTATCAACTGCAGGTGCCTGTTAAACAAGAAGATTTTAATAAGATTTTCATTGCTGAATATAATTTATAACGTGGTTTAAAGTAGGTAGGAAAACAAACAGCAGAAGGTGCGATTCATTATTGTCTCCTGATGCTACATTTAGAGGAGTTCCTATTTTTTTGGGAGGCCCAGTTATGAAATAAAAACCATAACACTGTGGGCATGCAGCTCATTGCTTTGTGCCAATATTAAAATATTGCGGCATCACATCCCACTACATGGCTTGGTCCATCAAGGATGCTGCTCTTATCAGCTGTTCTGGTGTCAGCTTTACCTTTGAGAGCATGGAGTGGAGATGTAAGGCAAAGATGGGGAAACTGAATCTGGATCTGTAGCTCTTGGCACAGCAGAAAAGATCTCGCGTGGCTTGCATCCCACCTCTACCTCTATTGCCAGAGAGGAGAAAATAGAAAGAGGACTCACTCTGCCCACTATTTCTGGTTTCAAAAAACATAAACACAGGCAAGGGTCACCTCCTGCTTTACATTTGTATGTTTGATGTTTTCTCAGGTGGGCTTTGATTGGCTTTTATTCATCCTATTTTCATGTCCAATTAATCAGCTACAGTCTACTGCCTCAAAAATTACAATACAGTCCAATGAAATATTGTAACAAATACTGAACTACTTTGGTTTCACAAAGGTATTATGAACTTAGGAACTTCACCATGTAACCTTAAGGATGTGGGCATTTACCAGGCAGGGAGGGTTTTACAGTCTAATGCTATTGGGTTGCATTATGGGAATTGTAGGATCCGGTGTTTTTGGATTAAAGTTCTTGGCTTCAAGTGCTTCAGCTTGGATGGCGACATTGTTTTTATTGTCTCTCTTATGAGGGCTCCATGTATTGAAAGAGAAAAACTATTTCCTTTAAAATGATTTCAAATAAAAGACATGATAAAAGTAAAGTATGAAATAAAGAAATATAGCTACAAAATTTCACAAGAGGTCTTACATTGCATTAGATGATAAACACCCACTTTTGCAAAACAGTTTTCATTTTTATTTCTTTTTATATTCAGTTCAGACTGAAATATTTCAACTATGGATTGCCTTGAAATTTTGTACAGATGTCCATGTTTTCCAGAGGATGAACCATATAAGGACTTTGGTGAACCCCTAACTGTTTCTGTAGTGCCACCAGCAGGTCAAAGGTTTCACACTGACCCCTATTGACCCTCACTGTATGTCATTTGCAAATTCACCGATACCATGTGATCAAATGCAAGTATTTGCTGGTTTTGCAATTTTCTGTGACAGTAAACTCAATATGTTTGATTCTTTTGACAACTGTTCACACAAATGAACTATTTTCTGATGTTTTATACACTTAACCGGTTTGATTATTGATAATGAAAATAATCGTTGATTGATACTTCCATACTACCTTGCCCAAGGTTTTCAGAGTGCTGATTTCTTGACAACAAGAGTGGAAGTTTCCAGCCGTGTTACAACAACTTTACAATAAATCAGCAAAATATAAAATATATAATACATAGATTTTGACACAGGGTTTCTCTATAACACAATGCCACAATATGGATCTTGTAGCTATCGCGTAGATGATTTTGTACTAATTTCTGACAAATTTTTGATGAATCAAATTATGTAGACCTAATTGATATGGAGTTAACCTGAGGCTTTTGGGGCCTCTGGACAGATGTGCTCTTTTGCCTCACCTTGCTTTATGTAAATTTTTCTGATGACACTTCCACACTTTGACCTAAGTATTACCTTTGAATGCTTAGCTTAAATCATCTAAATACTTTTTATGCTACTGCCAGTTTAATTCTTCATTTGCTTTTATTCATTTCATTTTATTCATTTATTAAAAAAAACAAACAAACAAAACAAAAAAAAACACAGGGTGACACATCTTCTCAATAGAGGATCTTTGTTACTACAGCTCGGCTCCCCCTCCGCCCCCCCTCCTCTCTCTCCCCTCCCACTCCCTGCTCTGCACTCTGAGCTCGAGCCTCTCTTCCCCCTCTCTGTCTTCACGAGTTCTCCTCCCGAAACCTGCGCGAGGCGTCCACTGAAAGCGCGAGACGATTCCCCCCTCTCCCCTTCACTTCAGTCAACATGGCTACAGTTGTAACCTCGACCAGATTCACAGACGAATATCAGCTGTACGAGGAACTCGGAAAGTAAGCGACCGTCACCACCACCGCCGCCGCCGCCGCCGCTCTTGTTGCATTCAGTCCGTGTGTATGTGTGTGTGTTTGCACGTTTCTCTCCTCTCTGCTGCTGCTGCTGCTGCTGCTGCTCGTGCTGCCATTGTGCGCGTTTACTTCAGTGTTGACAAGGCAGGAGAGGGGCTGTCAAAAAACAGGGAAGGGTAGGGGAACCTCCTGAGCAACAATAAGCTGTAGGCAGGTTCACGTTAGCGCCACAGAGGCTCGTGTTTAATCCTGAATGTTGTTTTCAGAGGTGTATCGCAGCGCTGTGGCGCCTCGGTTTGTGACCCAAAAGGTGTGAGGCACTCGCTCATTGGACCAACTTGTTTGTCAATTTATCTGCAGGCAGCACGCGTCGAAAACTCCTTTGCATTTACCCGTTGCCTAGTGGCATCTCCAGGCTCCTTGTTCAGTCATTCAGCTCTGTTGTGCATTTCTGAGCAGACTGCAGGGCTACTGTATATGTCAAGCCAAAAAAAAAGAAAAAAAGATGAAGACAAGGCTTTGCTGCAAACAAGACTGTGGGGGTTGCTCATTTTGGTTATGCACCACCACTGTATATTCAGGATTTAAACACCAAAGGACCCACAGGTTACAGTGCATATCCTCTCTACAAAGCCACTCTAACATCTAATCTCTCCCTGTGGCTAATAGAGCTGCTCCATCCACCAATACAGCTCAATTTCAAGGAGGCATCTGAGCAAAAAAAAAAAAATTGACACAGTTAAATGTTAATTCACCCTTTCAGTTGCTTAATTCTCCTGTAACCCTACTCACGTTTCTCCCTGTGAGCTAATGACTGAGTCCTGTCACAATGAAACAAGCCCTCTCCCTCCCCTGTCACGCACTAGCAGCCAGGACCTCTTCTCACATCTCATACACAGTATATCAGACTGTTTTAATTATGCATGTGACTTCCTTTCCCTTCTCTTCAGGTGTGTGTGATTCATGCGTGCCCTTAGTGTGGGACAAGTTCAGCGCACAAACACGCACTTTGCCCCCCCCCCCCCTTGTGTCACACAGATGTGCATGTGATGGAGAGCTTTTGTTACGTTTGAAGTGCTGTCACTGATCTGTTGTCTGGGTTATCGATTTCTTCCTGCTCCAGGGGTGCCTTCTCCGTCGTCCGCCGATGCGTCAAGAAGTCCACCGGCCAGGAGTATGCTGCTAAAATCATAAACACAAAAAAGCTCTCTGCCAGAGGTAAGTGCAGCAGATATCCATTGTGTGGCTCAGCGTTCCAGTCAAGGAGTAACATGAATTTATGCAAACTGAAAGCTGACAAGAGTAAGCTGCTGTCCACGCTGCTGTAGCTGCTCAGTGAAGTCAGTTCAGCTGCAGGCTTGTTAGTTTATTTCCTTAAGAGCAGCGAGCCAGGCGCTCTGTCCCATCCTTGTCAGCGGAGATTCCTGAAAAGCTGGAGGGCACTTGGCAGAGCTTTGCTGCTGCGGTTTGAGTTGTGCAGTGAGGTTCAGTGGGCTTTGGCAGTTGTCTGCAACCATTTTTGGTTTGTTATGGTTACTGTCGGTCTCTCGCAAAGGACTGTGTGTGCACCACCTTGACCTTTTAGTCTAAAATATTCTCTGGTATTTCAGCAGCTTGAAGGACGAGAGCTCTGGTTTACAGCAACTTATTTTCATAGTTTTTGGCCATAGTTTGCGTTGGTTATGGTAACGTTGTACTCACACTGTTGAAATCTGGGAACATAACAACATTGCTTAAGAGAAGTCAAACAGCACGGAACAGAAGTCAGATGATCAGACAAACCTACGGACCGACTGCACACAGTTTTCCTCAAAGTCACACAGCTAAGCCTCCATTTTTCTGAACAATAAATGTCTGACCTTTGTTTAAAACTGCAGCTCTTTTATTTAACACTTACTGCTGTTTTGGAGGTATTTCAGTGTTATGTTATTCTGGATTTATAGTAATCCTAATGCAGAGGAATAAAACTGAAAGTAAAACTTTAATTGTGGTTTAGGTCGTACAAATCGAGCTCGTGGATATGACGTCTCTCTGGCTGACATCTTTTGTTGTATTAAGATATATAATCACAACATGAACAAAGATGCTTAGTTCTGTGACTCAAATGCAGTTTTAAGCAGCTATTATTTATGCAGGTTTAAGTTTTGCTGTGCAGTGAGGCATTGTTGCCAATTAAGGCTGTCACTTTTTAATAAAAATTGGGCTTGACTGAATTCAAATTGACATGTAATTTATCCAAATTAATTTGAACGCAGCCTGTCTAGCCTCTCCTATAACGCAAGGATGTTGATAGAGGGTGATGACAAGAACATTTGATACAAAGCTGTATAATTCCCAGCTTGTAGCTTGCTGTTGTTAGCCTGCTGGACTAGTGGTGGAAAGTAACTAAGTACGTTTACTCAAGTACTTAAGTACAGATTTGAGATACTTGTGCTTTATTATTTCATTTATTTATTGTTATTTTAAAGGGATCATGTACAGCTTTCAACATCAACGTCTCCATGTGATGTGCTGTGCCAGATTGTAGCTTCAAGTTAATTTGCGTCTGCCGTCCCTTGGCAGGTCGGATCAGAAAAAACATAGTAAAATCACAGATGTATGCTTGTCAAGTAAAAGCCAGTCAGGAGGACCGTAGGATATCAGTCAGTGAGTACAGAGCTGCTCACTGACTCTACTTCCACTCGACTATATTTCACAAGTAAATGTACTTTTTATGCCACTGCATTTATTATATTATGTAATATTTCATGGTGGCAGCTTCTCAAATGTCCTCATTATTATTTTAATAATGTTTACTTGTTTTTAATAAATTTGAGATTTAGACTGTGAAGTGTCACTTTGGGTCATTGTCGTAGGATTTTTCTCTATTTTTCTGAATTTTTACAAACCAATCAATCAATCAATCAATCAATCGATTGCTTGCACATTAATACATCAGCAAACATGAGCCATTCATATAATATATAATAGTATAACACTCACAGGGGGTACTGCATTGAGTACTTTTACTTTTAATACTTCAAGTACTTTTTGCTGAATATACTTTCCTAATAATAACATAGATATTTTTTCCCATGTTTGAGTGGTAGTTGGAATTTTGAGTCCTATCCAGTCCTGTTACTGAAATTTCATGCGCTTTTACTTTTATGCTTGATCTCCAAAGAAAGTGGTTTAGCTAATCTGGATAAACCTGATTATCCAGCTGCTCATGTGTCTTGACCTGTCGGACTTTGCTGTAGTGATGATGACGTGTCCCCACATCTCAGTTCTTAGTTTGGCGAGTAGGATGTTTTTGTAACTGTTAGAAAAGAAAGCAGAAAAAATAAAGACCCAAGTTGTATTAACCTTGATTTACCCTTTAAATCAGTGTGTTCTGCCAGCCTGTGTGTGTGTGTGTGTGTGTGTGTTCACATGCAGCAACACATGTTGAAATGCCACCACCTGTGCCTCAGTATTTGTGGCAGATTTGTTGTCATTGTCATTAGTCTGCCTGTTGCTCTGTGCATGTGTCACAGTATTTCTTCTGCCATGTAGCTGAATCCAAGCGTTTTTCTCCGTTGACTGTTCCGATTGTCACATGTGTTGGTGTTTGCGTATGTATTTCATCGATCACTCGCTGTATGGCTTGGTGCTTTGGCGTGTGAGTCTGCTGCAGACTCTGTGTGTGCTGCATGTCTGTCCAAGTAAGCGTCAGACCAGGCCACCAAAGGTTGAGAGTGATGATGTGAGCTGCAGATCAGGGCCAGTCCTGGACTGACTGGGCTGCTCTTTTCCCAGGGGATGCAGACTGAGTTTCTCTCTCTCTCTCTCTCTCTCTCTCTCTCTCTCTCTCTCTCTCTCTCTCTCTCTCTCTCTCAAACACCCCCACCCTTTTCATTTTCCTTCCTTTTTGTGTTATTTTCCCCTGTCTCCCGTCCCCTCCCTCCCATCTCTGTAAACAAAAGACTGATTTGAGCAAAGATCTTAAAAACCCTTCTCACCAGGCGATTTGATCTTGTGTGTGTGTGTGTTGTGTGGAGGGCTGTGTTGGCAATGGTCTGGAGCTAGTAACCCAGCAACAGCAGGGGTGAAACTCTTCATCCCAGAGGCTGTCTGGCAGAGAGACCGCTTTCTGTGTGTGTGTGTGTGTGTGTGTGTGTCTCTCTCTGAGTCGTGGTGACAAATATCACACACACAAACACATATGTGACTGCTCTTTTCTCACTTAAAGCACAAACACAGTTACACACATTTTTCTCTCACCTACTAAATGGTTCTCACACTTAACTGTATGTAAGGCTTGATAGTTTCACATTGCGAAATACACAGACACACACACACACACACACACATACAGACACACACACACATTAGTCTCTCCTCCAGTGCGCAGTGCCCTTAATCAGAGCTGAACTGCTCTGGCACTGCCAGTGTGTTTTTCACAAACGCAAGAAGCATGTTCTCCCTGCCTCAACCACACACACACACACACACACACACACACACACACACACACACACCAAGCTTACAGAGCTGAACGAAAGGCAAGGAGAAATATGTCACAGGGACAGGCATCCTTTTTGTTCAAGAATAATTCTGCTTTATTACAACTGAGGCCATTGTATCTTAAGGTCATGTTAACAATCTACTCACTAAGTTAATTGCTGAGATCTGGGACTGCAGCAACACTGCTCAGAAGTCAGACAAGTTAAGAGAGTCAAAGCCCTAGGCTAGCCAGATGGATGTGAGGAGGAAAACAGAGGCCAACGATGCAGTTATACCCCAAGTGTCTGTTGTACACATCCATCACAGTTTACAGACTTAGTGCTTCAGCTTTGACCTGTTATACTTTCTATAGTTTTGCATGTACGCAGTTTTCTTAGTCCACAGTATTAACCTCCATTTCATTGAACAAACAATTGATCTTTTAATCAGTTGCAGTGATATTGCGGTGTTCCCTGACCTCAGCAATTAAAGTACAACGTTATCACGCCTGATTGAATTGACAGCTAAAAACACACCCAAATAATCCCAATTTACAGCCAAGAGAACACAACCGTAATCAGAAACATGTCTTCATTCACCGTAACAGCCATGTAGATCATCTTGTCTCCATGCACACACTAATATGAATACATCAAGGGTGCCAGCACACGTATAGTTCTGCAGCTAAGCTGTAGGAGGTCTTTACAGTGGTGTGTTGGCAAATCCACACACGCTATTCATGTTTAGTCTGATCTCTGCTTGTGTGTTCCTTGTTAGTGTTTGCAAACACGGAACGTACATGATATCAGCTTTGGTGGTTTGATGTCTGGGGAACTTTGGAGTATTGCTTGTACTTATGAGGTGTGTGTGTGTGTGTGTGTGTGTGTGTGTGTGTGTGTGTGTGTGTGTGTGTGTGTGTGTGTGTGTGTGTGTGTGTGTGTGTGTGTGTGTGTGTGTGTGTGTGTGTGTGTGAGAGAGAACAGGGCTTAATCCCCTGTTCTCTCTGGCTCAGGGAGGGCACATTGGCTGGCGGTGAGGTCAGTGATTATGGCTGGGTCGTGTGGCGTCACATGCATGCGCACAGCCGCTCAGACAGATACTCACACATTCACACGTGGTCTGTCACTTCACTGACATTCACACACGTCTGCGTCGAGACAGACGCACATCCGTCAGACACATTGTGTTTAGTTATCTTTGTATTATATGCATTTCTTTGGCTAAGAGTAATATTTTCAACTTTAATATTAAAAGTCAGTTCAGTTTATGAATTCTTGAAAAAATATTCCCCAAAAAATTTCATTAAAGGGCTGTTTTAAACAAACATAGGGTGCAAAGAAAGATTAAGGCCTGAAAACACTTAAAACATGTCCACAGTCAGCAGTCGGTTAGCTTAGTTTAGCTACACAGTCACAGTAGTTTAGCTACACAGTCACAGTAACAAAATACACCTACCAGCACCTCTAAAGGTCATTATTTGTAATTAAGATATTATATCTTGTATATTTATGGACAGATCTATTTTTATTGAGAGAACAGAGCAAGTTTATTCAATTTAATATCGTCATATACTTGGCACAGCAGAGTGTTAAATTACAGCTTGCAAGAAGGGCATTCAGAGGTACACCTTTACATTGTTTAAATATCAGGTAGGGATTTTATATTTAATAGTGGACTGTGAAAAGGAATCGCAGTTAATCACTTTTTTTTTTAACAGTGCATTTACTTACTTGTGTAAATTTTCCTCCCAAAAC